ATGATCCATATGCAGTTATTTCAAATTATGCGGAGTGTAGAATACATACCTTATAAGCTTGATAAACTAGGTTTTTCACTGAAAGTTCTCTTGTGTAAAACTGATTTGTTTTCAAGAATAGGATAATATCATTAGACATTAGTGATACATTTTAGCGCATGACACAAGAGTATACTAATAAAAGTATGAGACTAAGCAATATCTAATAAAAGTATGATACTGAGCAATATCTAATCTAATTACTTACAAAATTCACAAATTATCTAACCAATCATTGAGTTAGAACCAGTTACTTTTAGCTGATCTTAATCATCCCTAATTCTAACTTGTTCCTTTCAAAGTAATCTTCACTCAAAGTTTTTGTGAAGATGTCAACTATTTGCTTATTAGTAGCACAATATTTCACAGCGATCAAACCCTTTTAAAAGTTATCCCTCAGAAAACGATGTCCAACATTTATGTGCTTAGTTCTTTTGTGACGGAAGCGACGGAAGTTTTCCTCCGGTGACTCTTCTAAGCACTTCAAAAAATTTCACTAGATGGTGCAATAATTAAGAAGGTTTTTCTCTACTTAGGGACCCAATCAATAGTTTCTCCTTTTATATTGTTCTTCCATCAAGAACTGTTACTTGTTCAGATGCATAAGGGGCAATAGTTTCTTTATGACAATGGACAGTTTCAAATAATTAAGTTGAAATGAAGTTTCAACTTGTTCAAATTAAACGGACCATCTTAATGAAACATTCACTAGAGGACGTTACTAATAAACGCGACTGTACAACACTGCTATACAGAGCTATACTACAAAAAAATAGTGAATTTGTGGCAGTTTTTCTTGCGTATTACGGCGGTTTTTAACTGCCACTATATCCATTAATGGTGGTCTTTAAATACACTGAAATTGCATTCGCCAAGAACAAAAAATGGCGGTTTTGTAGATACTGCCATAATTGCACATCGCATAAAGTGGTGGTTCCATATTGTTGAAAATGGCAGTTCTAGAACGCCGTAATTTACGGAGTTGTTTATCTCAAACTAATTCAAAATCACCATAATTTTTCTCATAGTTGTGTCATACCTCTTTCTTTTCCATTTGTAATTCTTTTTTATACTGTTCTCATTCCATATTTATACTCTGCCCAACACATTAAAAGTTGTGTATTACTTTATAAAGTTTTGATACATATAAAAGAAATATTAATTAAATAACGGCTCATTCATAATATATAAAAAAGAATAAGCAATTCCAAATTACATCATAAAATGTATTAAAATTTCAAGGAGCAATATTTTACATCCACTCAACATAATAAAAGGAAATAACTATGATAAATTCTAGCAATAGTTGAGTATAACAAGCATGATATGTATTGTTATCTCTATCCGGTGATCCTCTTACGTGGTTAGGTGATAGGATGCCACTTCCCATATCCAGTGCCTACAAAATAAATTAAAACAACAAGCAATAAGTAACTCAAATGATCAAGCTACAAATCAATATAATATGCATTTATAGAACATTTGAATTTTTTTCCAGTGCAACTACAAAATACGAGACAATATTTGCTCATAGAACTCCCTTACTCATCAAGCGAGAGATTATGATCAATTTGCTGCTGAATGAACCTTCATAGTGCATTTATTTGATGAAAAAAGCAAAAAAAACTCCATATGTACATTTTTCAATTGCTGAACTTTAATCCGCACAGAACACTCGTATGAATGAGAGTATCAATACCTTGGATAGCAGGAAGAATACTTTCAGTTTTGAGCCATAGGTGGGTCTCATTGAGATCGCACTTATAACAGATTCCAAAGGCTAATCATGCTTAACCCCTTGACATTACTCCATCCTACTTCTGACAAAAGGCATCTAATTGCCTCCTCAAAAAGAGTTTTTACAACTTACAACCCAATATCTGATTTTTGAGGGAGCCAAAAATAAAGGTCTTAAAATTTCATGGAAGATATATCAAGAGAATAATTTAGCCCAAAAGAATAATTCAACGAAAGGAAACTATCCAGTCCAATAGATCCAGACATACTTAAGATTAAGACGAGTACGAATGATACATACGAAAAAGAGGAAAACAAAGAAGAGTAGGGAGAACATATTTACCCTTCGAGCGAAAACACAATGAGACTCGCGAAGCCTCCGCAAGACACAGTGTAATCTTGATGCGACCCGAGTTGCTTTCGCAACATTATCTGCAAATTCGACTAAGCTTCAATTCACGCTAAATTTCTAATCCAGACTAGACTTATAGTTAAGGAACCAACAACAAAGATATTAATCATGAAGAACACCTCAAATCAAGTAAAACATTATCCCACAGATAGGTATGTTAAAAGAGAAAACCACTTGATTCTTCTTTTCATCAAAACCCAAATTTATATTCTTTGACAATTAATCAATGCTAAGATCATGATCAACATTTAATATCATTTTCAAACATTATCTAACCCTCACAGAGATGTAAAATTTTATGTTTTCAGTGAAGCATATTGTCAAACACTTTGAGGGGATCAAGTCATCCTATTCCATCTGAGGGCTCGAGGAGTTAGGGCACTCCTAATTGCAGAATCATAACAATAAATTAAATTCGCAATCTTTTTAGGCACCACAGATTCAATTTGTGTACATACTTAATATAGATATGGCATGCAAAAGAAGGAATTAGATAAACTAACCTTAGACTTAAGGAAATGCAAATTGAATACTTGATAATGTACATGATTAATCAGCGAAACGACATTACTCCTTGAATCTATGTATTAACCTTGATTAGTGAATACACCAGTGAAGTTAGCCTATGCAAAAAAATCCACTGAAATGGCTAGCAAAGTTAGCCTATGCAGAATTTCAAAGCTCGCATAAGGAGATATAAATGACCATGAAACACTACGGCACAACACAATTATTGATTTAATCATCAATTATGCCTCGATCCTAAACTAGTAACAACCACTATACAATCCTCTGTACACATTTCGTTGTCCCTGCTATTATATCTTTGAATGTCCAACTAAGGATTCTCTCATCCCTACACTGAGGGACAAGTTCTAACCAAACCAATAGGACTTCTAGCAATTTTCAATCATAAGAAATCGGTTCCTTACAACACCAGAAATATAAAATCTATAAAGAAACAAACAACAAAAAATCGTACTTGGCACGATGGAGGTTAGCGAACTATTTGCGAACCTGGCGAGAAGAGGAGAGATTAGAAAAGGAGAGGAGAGGAGAGGGAGTCACCGCGTCAATGATCCAGATTTGAGCCAGATTTCGTGGGAAGCGAGACTACATTAAGTTATATTACTACAATTCATGTCAATGTTCTGTACTATAAGTTATTCAAATTAATATTGTCAAAAAAGAAGATACATCTAATAAGCTAGTGATCTCAGAGT